TGATCCGAATTCTGAGAATTCAGAAAATTCAGTGTTCCAACTGTCTTGTCTTCTCTCACTTGCGTGCTTGTCAACCAATCAGGTTCTAGAATAGTTCTCTGTCTACCCCATCTCGAACTCATGCGTATTAGCCTGAAGGTTAAGCCGCTCAGTCTATTGCGCCGAGGTCATAATCTAGAATAGACAGATCAACGTCAAGTCGTAACAATGTATCGACGGGGTAAAAGCGATTCAAGGTCATAACAACTGGCGACGGGGCCATAACAATCTAGTATTATTCTTGATACTAAATGGGAACCAAATATTGTCCGTTCATACTTCCTTTAAATTAAAAAGAATGTGGAGTACGTTAAACTACTGAGATGGTGGAGAAGATTTGTAGCTCAGGCGGATGATTTTGATGGAGTTTTATTCTATGAACTGGATGGTTTGGTCGTGGAGCTTTCATCATTCTTCTGAACGACACCATCAACACAAACTTCAGATAGAAGTGAAGTGTTCGAATTTCTCCATATGTGTTTCACAGCTTGTTCTGCACATCTTGACGTTGATTGGTTCTTATTGACCTTAAATTTGTCATTGTTTACTCCTTTGTTTTGGTTGTGTCTCCCATTGGTTTGATTTTTGTTCCTACTTTATAAAGTTGGGTGTTAAATATATGGTACAACAGAATAGAATATCCAAGAACTCCATTTGTATATATAAAAAGTTTGTTTACTTAACTCAATACCCATTGGATTATGATTTGACTATACATTCTATTTATCTACTACCAGTCTTATGGTTAGTATTGTTGCTGCAATCGAAACAATATTATGTTATACTGATTTAGAAATTCGTTACCATAACATATTTTTTTTTCATATTACACTTAATCTTTAAATCTGGAAGTTAATGGATGGGTTTTTTAAACGTCGTTTCACCTATGTACAATTTACATTTGCTGTTAATAAAGAGTATGTATCGTGACAAAATACCCTTGAAAATACAAGGCTTTAAAGTCATCATCATTTCCAGTGGGATTCCCAGAAGTTTACCATTGATTTCGTTAAAAATATTTCAAAGACTTAATACACTAAAATATTTAGACTAAAAGTTCTATTACCAGATTAATTATAAAAATAAACTTAACTATTATAGTCGGAAAAACATACATCAAACTTCTTATTCACTTGCAAACTTATTACAATAACTATCAACCTGTCCAAAAAATATTCTCCTGATGAGCTACATAATTTTGTTTAGTATTTTTGAGGTTACCATTCATAGTTTGGTCAACTTTACGGTAAACAAAGTTTTCAGTGAACTAACTAGGTACATTCATAACAGGAAAGAGAATAATGGTTTATAAATACAACTCAACTAAGCAAAGATGGATAGTGGCTAGCAGTGGAATCCAGGACGCGCGTTTCGTCCTGTTTGGGACTCGTCAGCTGGATGTACCTGCATCTCAGAGTTGATGTTCACTCTGGGACTCGAACTCAGTACCGTTCGCTTCAAACGCCATCGCGTTATCCACAGGACGAAACGCGCGTCCTGGATTCCACTGCTAGCCACTATCCATCTTTGCTTATAATGCTTGTAAATTAAGGCAATATCGAGGCATACGCACAGTATGCACATATGCCAATAAGAGACTGATCAATTTCCGTTCAAAAACATCAATGGGAAGATTCAAGTAAAACAATATCAAGTGAATACAACTCAACTAACTTTACAATTCCACTTGGATACTTCTGTAAACTAATTAGGTTCACCACATACATTAAACCTTCAAATCCCTTATTATTATTTGTTAATTATTACTTCACAATATCCGGATATTAAAGATAATTTGTCAAGGTAAAGTTTACTCACACTTTTACATTCTTTCCAGTTATCTTTAATTCAGTTAAATAGATTATAATTATCACACCATTCACTCCATTTCCGCAAAAAACCTAACATCACGACCTTTTTTGTATGAACATGTTTGTTTAAACACTGTGGTTTTGTTATGATTAAAATAAACATCTATTAATTCACACACTATCCATAGATAACATACAATGTTCATTGAATAAAAACTAGTGGATAACGAATACTTTCATTTCATCCTATTTAATTGCATAACATGTTAAATTGCCAAAATCATAAGTCACTTACTTGAATATCGTCTCATTGAGATCATTACTGATTGTATACAGCTTAAGACATTATTTTAACTAATGACAATAATTATTATTAGTGATTTACTTTTACATTATTATTAGAATGGGTGTTTGTGGAGATTGTGGTGATTTTAATAGCTGAATTCATGGGTCTATATAAGTTAGACCATCACTGTAAATCTAGAAACATTGGATGACCGATTCTTCCTAGTATGAGTTTCCTCATCACACATTAACACCCTTGGATGCCAACCCAAGGTTAAGCGTTGGCGCGCGAAATCGATTCGAGTCCTGTGTGTGGGATTGTGGATGAGCACCACTGACGAGTCTCATACTATGTTAAAATGGCCATCCCGTTAGTATTTATTTTTTTACTACATGTTTTACATATTGTTTAGTACACACGATCCCATACCCCGCGAGATTCGAACCCAAAACCTATCAGTCCCGCGCCAGGCGCTTAACCAACTAGACCACTGAGCCAAGACAATGGTATACGATGGCGCAACTTTGTGAACTGGTTGAAGTTAGACATTAACACCATTGGATGCCAGCTCAGTGGTCTAGTTGGTTAAGTGCCTGGTGCGAGACTGATAGGTCCTGGGTTTGAATCTCGTGGGGTATGGGATCGTGTGTGTGCACTGCTGAGGAGTCCCATACTAGGACGAAACGGCTGTCCAGTGCTCTCAGATTTTCCATGGTGGTCTACCTTCAATTGAATTATGATTTCAATCTGTGTAATGATTTATAATTAACTAAATGATCATTTTAGCGAAAAATAATGTTCACCTGGACAAAGTGAGCACGTATTTCGATAACACTAAAACCAATCACAAAGTATGGGGAGACTATAATATATGGACGACATTTGAGCGACGCTAAAGTGACCGTGAAAAAATATGTCAACTTCCTATGGTCATAAAAGGGTTAGATTTCGTATGGAGAATTAAGTTTGTGATTTAGAATTGGAAGTTAGGATTAAGAATTACATTTACGGTTCCCATCACGAACTGACATCAGCTAAAATACTAAAGCACTATTTAACCATATAGATGAATGGGTTTTGTACCAAAATTCATGACTTGTTATCCTTGATTTCATTGGTTCGTCCATAAATTGTAGTCTAAGCCTATTTATTGATGGTCATACCCTCATTTATCAATAGAAGTGCAAAAAAAAATCCACAGTCAGTTTAATTTAAGCCAACCAATTATATCATATTTTCTTTGAAAAGGCTTGGACCAGATTGCCCGGCGAAACATCGGATTTACTTCAACTTCTTTCGCTCAGATTTTACAAATACATTCTTCCTCTTTAATGTCTCAATTACATCACTTTTAAAATTATTAATACTATTGAACAACAATAAATAAGAACTTTCATCTAAATTTGAACGAATAGTTTCACAATATTTGGGTGCCGAAAAAGCTTGGACCAGATTGCCAGGCGATACGCTGGATTTACTTCAAATTCTTTCGCTGAGATTTTACAAATACCATTCTTCCTCTTTATTAAATAACAAGTTCGAGGAGTGCAAAAGGGGAAAGGGGTGAAAAAGTTTTTATCGTCGCGGGGGCGTATATGAATAATAAATTTAAACTACAGATGTTTTAAGGATATTCGTCTACATAATATGTTCGCACGCGTACATAAATAGATGTGATTGGTCACTTGTTACAGCCCACCCATATATTTTTTTCACTCTTAACGTGTTTGATGATTCACTCGCATCCTTTTATATGTACGTGCTTAATAAATTTCATTAATTTATACTAGTTAATCAATTGATCCAATTCATCTCTCACATTGAGAACATGCCGATCGTTTAATTTGTGTTATGCTGAAAAGAATTGTTGCAGAGACTTCGTATTACCCTCTAAAAGTTGCACACTATTAGAATAATGGTCCTCATGGGCGTTAATATACAAAATTTAAGAAAAGCTGTAAAAACATTCCTCAACTAGTGAAGAATCTCTCGTATCTTTTCTATGCATTTACTAAGCCTAATTTTTTAGAAGCGAATCAATACATAGATAAAGATTACAAAAGAATAAATCCTAATTGTATCAACCATTGATAATTTTTGGTTGAAATCAGACATTAACACTGTTGGATGCCGACTGTCTCAGTGGTGTAGAGGCTAAGCGTCCGCGCGTGAGACCGATAGGTCCTGTGTTCGAATCTCGTGAGGTGGGATCGTGGATGCGCACTGCTGATGAGTCCCACTAAACGGCCATCCAGCGATTACATGATTTTCCATGGCGGCCTAGCTTCAATTGACTCATGAACTCAACTATTAAAATTACTATAATATCCACAAAAACTTCTTTCTGATAATAATCACTGATATGTTGTATGTTAGACATTTCAGTCATATTCACTGTTTGTTTTCAGTTCATTTGTGTGTTCCATTGTCTAATGATATTTACTGTAAATTTTTTATTGTGTTATGTAATCATTTTTCTGCAGAAGTTACCTACATACGATTTTAAATAATTGTATTCAGTGTGCATAAAATTGGTTATTAAAGATTTACCGAATTTTCCTCTTTTTCCTCAATGTATGACATCCATTAAGTTCTAAAAACAGCGCTTTTTTAACCAAGCAAATGTTTCACGAAAGGAAATCCACGTTAAACGGATGATATCAGTCGATAAGAAATCGTCAAGTTAAATTCGTACTATCTAGTATTCTTTAGCAAGGTATACGTACGTTTATGTTACAGCCGATAATTCCGCTGGATTCATAGCGATATTACATACTGTTCCATCCAGAGAAGTTATCACCTATCAGTTTGGACTGGATTATGCAAATATGCCCCAGCTACTGATCAAAATAAATCAAAAATATTTCTTTTTCGAATAGGAATTATATATAGAAAACACGTAACATATACATAAATACTCAAAATAATCATGTGCTCACTAGTTTCAAGATGCAACTCCAGGAAATCTAGTACGAAGCTGTGACCAATAGAGTTCAACCATATCAGGTGTGATATTGTTATTTACTGTAAACGATAGATGAAGGTTGTGCAATATCATGAGTTGATTTAAGCTGGACACTCACAACATCAGATATCAGATTAGTGGTCCAAAGGTCAAACATTTGCATGACAGACCGAAAGTTCTAGGTTCGATTCCCCTTGGTAGATTCCTGGATGTTCACTTTTTAAGAGTCTCATACGAGGATGAAACGTCCGTCCAAAGTTTTCAAGTTTTCAGTAGTGTTCTAGCTAAGATTATTTCATGATTTAGACTATGTATATATACTTATAATAATTCACAGATGTGTACTTTTGACAAATGCATAATACATTAAGATTATCATAGATAATGTTTGTAACATAATTTTATAATAAAAAAAGACTAAGGAATTAAGAGAGAGAGAGAAAAAAACACAAATTATATTCTTTCACCAAACATACAGAATAAAGTTACATCAAAGTGAACATGGTAAAAATTCCAAATGAATAGTTCCAATTTATTGGTTTATCATTGAAGAAAAAAAGTTTCTCATTAACTTTAAATTCAAATATATAAATGTGAAAATACTGGTTGTTTTCAAAATCCATTTTTCCGCTCGCTAAATGGACATCATTTCTTAAGATGATAGTAACCAATTGATATTTGAATATTTTCACATTCTGATGAAATGGATCCATTTTGGTTTTCGTTGTGTTTTTTTGGGGGGTGTGTGGGGGTGGATGGTGGTTGCTGAGGGAAATGCAATGTTGTTCATTTTCAACAAATAATTTCTAACAGGAATGAAATATATTAATTTATTATAAATGAAAACAGATAACCGAATAGAAATTGTTGAATACAAAACAGAAAAGAAAAACAAAAGAACAAGACAAAACAAAAGGGAACACATTCAAAGCAGACAAATGACAATAATTAATGAAAATTTGTAAGAATTTACAACAGATCTAGAAGTATGATATAACTTTTCATGTATGTTAATCCTTTTGCTTTATGTTAGTAATAGTTTGTAAACAAATATGAATGTAGATATTAAAAATGTAAACGATTGTCATGTATCACATTGGAAGTTTTAAAAAGCCAAAAGCATAACTACCAATAGTTAAAGAAGTTAAGATATAATTTGAACTAACGTCAAATATGTACGAGTGAATAACAATTAAAAAGATATGAATGAAGATTGAAGGAAATGATCCTATCTTATATATATGTATATATACTTCATAGCTTCGAATACATTGTCTTTTAATGTTTCAACAGTTTCATGTAAGATGAGTGAAACCATTTTAGAGAGAAAAGACAACAACAACAAAAAAAAACGTACCATTTCCATTTGAATTTACAATTATTCAATGATTACGTTGATGAATGTATAGTTTGTGTATCATTTACTATAAATTCTTGATCATCTTTCCATTGTATAATTTTATCATTTTCATCTGAATTTTCATTTACTGTATCTGTATTCCGTTTAGATAAACCATATTTTTTACGTTGTGCTTTATCAGCACGACGACTAGATAAATGAGCTTGTTCTTCAGCGATTGTTTCAAATTTTGCACGTTGATAAATATCTCTTGATCTTAAAAGATTTAATGCGATTATGTCACAGACAGTTGGCGCCTAAAACATAACAGAAATAGAAATTGTATAATATCAACTAATATGAAATATAATCAAGGTAATAGGCAATAATAATTATAAATCAATTTCCAAATGGACATTAGTAATGAACAATTAAATCTGTAGTATTTTTGTTTTATTAACTAACCCCTTCTAATTTATTTGTTGTATTATCGACAAAAATGTTATGATTAATATTTCCAGTGATTTCATAATGGAATCTTAAAGGAAAAAAAAGCAGATTCTACAGGAATTTACTAAAACAGTGTTTTTTGTTATCATTTTTGTTGTTGTTCTTGTTGTCGTTGTTGTTTTTATTGTTGCTACGGTTATACGGCATAGAGATAGATCTATATATCAGGATAAGACGTAAAACACACACACACTTAAAAACACTTTCTTTTGTGTATTATATGAATATTGAAAAAATTTGCCTTAGTAACACTTTCATAACTTTAAAAATGAAAGGGATTAAAATAGAGTTTTCAAAAAAGATCGGAGGTAATTCTATTGAATAGTTTTAAAACTAATTCGAACAATGAATGATTAATAATAAATGTTAATTTTTCTTTATATATTACTACGTTTTGATAGTGTAAGAAGAAGACGAAGATTATCAGAACTGTTTGATGATATATTAGCGCAATACATTCCGAATAATCTGATCACATATATATGATCAGATTGTTCGAAATGCATTGCGCTAATATATCATCACATAATTTAGATCATTTTCATTTTCTTCTTATTATACTATCGAAATTTATTAAAGGGACTAATTGTTTTACATTCCTATGTATTCCATATTGTATGTAGTTAGTAAACATTGTTAATGATGATATGACAAAAACTTCAGTAACTAACTAAATGTTAGATGGAGATAAATATGTACAAAGTTATATTTTATCTTAATGTTTGTATATTTTCTATTCTGTATTATTCTTTGCTTTTATGACAATCATTTGGTGCAGGGTTCTTTTGTATTACGAAATTGAGAGGATGAAAAGCGAATATCCGGCTCTTAAACCGGGTTAGTGGATAAGGAATATCCATCTACGGGAGTTAGAAAACCCCGATTCCAAACCAATGGTGCACATGGGCTCTAGTTTCCTGAAGGAACAAGTGGTTTATGCACCAATTATTGGTCACCGGCTACCATGGGACTGCATCTCCTCATGTTGCTCCGCTGCCTTGCAGATCAAACCTTTAAATCGAAGGCTCCGAGAGTGGCGCCCCGTGAAAATCACCTGCTACGGTTTGGGCACCCATACAGTATCGTAGCCCACACACAGATCAAGTGACTTGTGTGCCGTATGTGTATTCGGGTGCCTCTTTGTATTTAAATAAATAAAATAAATCTTCTGTATTAATGTAGTCTAAGTTTTATACAAAATGACATACATTATACATTTATTAGTAATAATAACAATAGTAATAATGGTGGTAGTAGTAGGAGTAGTAGTAGTGTAATAGTAGTAGTAGTTCAGTGTAAATATCTACATTTGTATTTTCCTAATATTCGTTACCTGTAATATTTAGTAACCAATCGTTTACAATCAATAAATCAGTGAATTTAGACGAACTAGATGTTGTGTGTGTGCGCTTATTGGATGTGTGACATTAGTTTTTGGGCTTCTTTCCTTATAGTACTGTGTAAAATCTTAGTAATAATAATAATAATAATAATAATAATAATAATAATAATAATAATAATAATAATAAAAGTTTGAATTTGTCAAGGTTACACAAATCTCCTCCATCATGATTTGGTAATTTTGTAAATAATATGTAAATCTAAGATGACCAATCATACTACTAACATAAATATGACCTCTTATTCATACTGATTTTCCATTGAATTGGTTATTGACAATACAAAATTACTTGGATAGACAAATATTTTCCTACGTTATGAAACATTTAGTTGTGACCGGTTATAAGGCTGATATTAAATAAGGTTTTTGTAGCGTTCTATAAATGTGTTGATTGATTATATGAAAACTGAAATCTCTTTGACTTGTTTAAAAACAATTTGTTGTTACCTTTACCCTACTATCCTGGTAATACTGATTTATATGATAATTTGTGTTTTCATGTTGTTGTTGTTATGTGCTTTGTTATTAATTTTGTTTTCTTTTACCTTCTAATTTATTGAATTGTCCTTTTTTTTCATTTGTTAATGTTGTGAATAAATATACTGTCTGAACAGATTATTCGAAATGTATTATTTTCATTCAGAAGATACAAGTGTTTATTGACAGTTGTCTACGCTAAATACTTCGGATCTGTTGACCAGACACTATCGGCAACAACCCAATGTAGGAGAGAACAAACCAGATATCAGCAGAGGAAGAAATCAGGAAGAAGCACTGGAAGTGGATCGGACACACGTTGAGGAAAGCACCCAACTGCGTCACAAGGCAATCCCTCACATGGAATCCCGATGGCCAAAGGAGGAGAGGAAGACCAACGAACACAATATGCCGCGAAATGGAGACAGACATGAGAAGAATGAACAACAATTGGATAGAACTAGAAACGAAGGCCCAGGACGGAGTGGGTTGGAGAATGCTGATCGGCGGCTGATGCTCCATTGGGAATAGCAGGCGTAAATAAGTAATTATATATTGTCGGCCTGCTTGAGTATTTGTGCTACCTGTTCTTGCCATCTAGATATTTCAACAACTTATCTCTTTTTTTGTTCGTTTTAACACATCATTATGTCTATTAATCTCATAATCTATTCAGGTGAAATGTTTACGACTTTTCGCTATACAACAAATTAGAATCAGAGACAGCGTGGTGGCTGGCAACATACATCCAAAACAATGTACATTATTCAAATGTCGATTCCTGATAACATCTAACTAGCGATCACTCAACAGTTATCGTCAGGATCGATCACGAAATAACAAACGGGAACTTATTGAAATACTTTGTGCAGAGAATCCTATATTACACCAAAACCATTATATCGAATATATATCACGTAAATAGATCCCGTAAGTTTGATAACCTTCGTCTTCTCATTGGATTATTCAAATTTATCAAAGGGATTAATTGTTAAAAAAATAACTACAAGTCAGTATTTATTACAGGTAAAATGTATCCTGATTTATTTGCTCAGGTCCCCTTTCATTCATGTGAAACAATGTAATATGATGAGCACTGCTGAATAGTCCCACAGTAGTACGAAACGGCCGTCCAATGTTTTCAGGTTTTCCATGGTGGTCTAGCTTCAGTTGACTGATGATCTCAACTGTTGTAATGTGATTATACTTTATTACTACTTAATTTAAGTTCTAATTCGATTGGATAAACTCGGTTTGAGAATAAACAAAATAGTGAAAGTAATAGTATGCAATCGAAAAATGATTATTCTGTGTAAGCCCAGATATGTTTGTTGAACAATATGTTGGGATTATTTAAACTTCAATCACTGAAATTATTTCAAATACATTTCCCGCATTTACACTTTATTTAAATACATTTTTGTTATCACGAGATAAGTCCTGGGAAAGATGAACTGCCAGAACTGTCCTACTTGAGATTATTGTGTTTATATTTTTATTCTTTAATTTATAAATACTTGAATTTCTGTGTTTCTTTGTATTCGCCTGCTTGTAAGCTTTTCGTTGATAAATGAACTGTTATTGTATGTTAAACTTTTTCTACATTATTTATTACGGGCCTATAACTTCATTGTTTCCCGTTTATAGCTTTGTTGGGTTTAATAGGAACTGACTGCTAAATTTTTGGATCTATGGTATAGGATAGAGAAAGGAGAGAGTATAACAGACCTATAAGAGCTCAGCTAGGGTTTGTTCAATCCTGATGGTGAAGACCAGACATGTAGTTGATTAAGTCTGGAAGAAAGCCATAGACGAAATACTGAACAAAGCGTAGGGGAAAAATTACAATTCATGATCTTAACACATGATAACGATAAATGATGCTAAAGCCATAAAAGTTTTTTTCACAAGCTATTTAACATTAATATCATTAAAAAAATATATAAACCACTAGTTATTAAAGCCCATAAAACATTATGTATATTTCATTATTTAAAATCACTTACCAAACCGAGTAAAGCTAAACCTGAACCAATATTCATTGTCAATGGGAGAAGATGAAATTTACCAGCTTCACCGCTAACATGAATAACAAATCTTATACCATAAGCTTTTATCAAATCTCGATAGTTGGTTCCATTTTCACTGTAAAAATGAGCATAACTACAAAATGAAGTATAAAAATAAAATATAGAATAAAACGATGATTAATTTAGACATTCAATATGACATAGTATTTGCTTCGTTTTGTTTTCTTCACTTATTGATTTCATAAACTTTGTCCAAATGACAATAGTTAGAATCAACATTTACTATTTGTTATGTTTTAAAGCCCGTCAATTATTGCGTGACTATATCGCCGATCAAAACACTAACTTATACGACTTTGGAACTATGCCAAATCAATGACACGTTAACCAGTACGAGCAGTCTAGAGTCAACTCTGAGTCCTTATTGGTTCTTCTCGCCTAGCTCGGTCCGTTTGAGTCTAGAACACAATCTCAGTTTCCACCGTATCAATTATATATTTCAGACATATTTGGCTGTACAAGCAACCAGACCTTATTATTACCATAAAATAGAAAATAACAATTATGAAATATCAAGCCCGAAATTGGCTATAAGTTTAAGAGACTGTAGCTAATAAATTAGGCATAAATTAATAATAGTAAATCATATAGTAGTAGTCAGTAGATCAAGTGGAAACCCATAATAAAAGGAACATTATTATACGTATCATATAGTTACTTAGTAGTTATCCAATAAGAGTATATATAATAATAGTCCGTAAATAATTTCTAGCAATTACCATTCATTGTCTGCACGATTACTCAAAGTTTTAGAAGGAGTATCTGCATTTCCGTACCCTTTATTGAAAAACAACCATTTTTATAATTTTTATAACCTATTCGGTGCTTTATAAACCATTGAAAGAAAGTGTAAAATAATCATGATTAAAACGATTTGTTTAATAAAACAGATGTAATTGGCCAAATGACTTAAGTCAACATAAAGATAAGAATCAAACCAAAACACTTATTTATTTTTGAGGTAATCGGATCTAATTAGTTTACCGTAGGTCTGTGGTAAATTATACACCAGATAAACAATTTGTGTAAGTAGTTCACAAATGAGAGTGTCACAGAGAATATGAGAAAATAATTTGGAGAGTGACTTGACATAAAAATATTAAATTGTATTCAAATAAAAAGAAAGTTTTCTGAATATATAGATCATTCAGGTTTAATCAGAGAAGTCCACCAGTTAGCATCTATGTTATCGAATTATAGATTATACCTTTTAATGATATATTTTAGTAGGAGGTATTTTTGATGCAACCATAGATTTATTAATACCTAATTGATGTTAATGAAACTACCTTTGAAAAAGCGAAAACACTGAACAGCTGTTTCGTCCTGTCAGCATCATCGACGCCACCACAAAGAATCTAGACCACTGGTTCAGCACTTAATCGCGTGGATGTTTAAGTTAAATTAATTCACAATACTGAACCATCTTCATTAATTGCCTCATAAAGGTAACCGTCTTACACTTGACATGGTTGAACTCTGTCGGATTCCGAGTAGATCTTGAGCGTTCACTTGCCAAACTGAGGGCCCTAGATTCTATTCCTTGAGACGGGGTTGTGGAAGCGCACTGCTAGGAACTCTTATATTTAAATGAAACATTTGTTCGATTTAAATCATGAAGATTCCAATCTCCATAAATTCTCGAGTATTGATTTTAAGTTTCTATAGATCTTTAGGAAATAAACGGTGAAAGATGCATTTTAGGGTCACATGCTTGACTTTGAATTATTCATGTTAAAATTAGTCAGTGAAGTAGTATTGACGAAACCATAATTTATGAACGAACCCAGAAAACCAAAGATAGCAAGTCATGAATTTTGGTACGAAATATATTCATCCATATGGCTAAGTAGTATTTTGCAATTATATTTGATATTTGTTCCTGGTGAAAACTGTTACTTCAATTCCTAACCCTAACTTTCAACTTTGAATCCTAATCCAAATTGTTCATGAGAATCATAACTCTCTTTTGACCACAGTAAGTTGGTATGTTTTCTCAAGGTCACTTGAACGTCGCTCAAAGGTCGTCCATATGATACAGTCTCATTGATGTTATCAAACCAGTTTGTCATCGGCCTAGTTCGCTACGCATTAAGCTTGTACATCACTTCATATGTGTTTTCTCTTTATGAGACAGAATTTTTGCTATCGACAGACTGTAAAGAAACAGGTTTATTTAAATGTCCGGTGATTGGAAGGGATAAGCAAAAAGCTTGTGTTTGTCTTTAGTTTTTTTTTTCAAATTCTGTTCACCATCTCTCCTTTTGAGAATTGCTGGTGATGTAGTTGGTTATCTTGGCGTAAAATGTAGGAGAAATGACAAAAGTCATTGAACAGGTGAATTATATATGGATTTCAGTATGGTCTTAATGTAAGAGGAAGGAAATATTCTCTGAAACCGGCTTGAAAGTCATATTAATCCTTTGTGATGTAAATGCCATTTCAGTTTTCTAATATAATAAAAGATATAAGATAATATAGATGAATAAATAGACAGTGATTGAATACTTCGTGTTAGTATACTTTTGTTGCTTTCATTCAAGGTTACTATACATTGATAGTTTTTCGGTTAAGAGGCGTACGACAAAAGTCGTACTTTACGGGGATTTTAGTTATATTATTATATATCCTCATATGTTTACGTAAATATTTACCTACCGGATGTGTTAAAACAGGAAATGATATAGTGAAAATAACAATAATGATAATAATAATACTTCTAGGTCTATCTAATGTAGGTCAAAAGGAATTTCACCGGTTGATGTAGTAACATCAGTAATTAGGAAAACAAAACGATAAAGTTCATATATGGAAATAACTAAATAGAAAACAACAAACTAAACAGTGAATAATACACAAAACTTTTTAAGGCATTTGAATATTATGATAGAGCAATAAGAAAATGGATTTAATATGAAAAATCTGATTTATTTATGTTACGTTGAGTCGAACAATCTGATCACACAGAGAGTTGTTTAAATATTTTAAAAATGAAAACTTTTACTTACTTACTTATGCCTGTTACTCCTCGTAGAGTAACATAGACCTCCACGCAGCACTCTCCACCCAACTCTGTCCTGGGAAATCCCTTTCCAGTTGCTATTGATCCTTTTTATTTATGTTTCCATTTCCTGACATATTGTGTCCTTTGGTCTTCCTTTTTCCCGCTTCCCTTCAGGACTCCAAGTTAGGGCTTGTCTCATGATGCAGTTTTGTGATTTTCCTAATGTATGTCCTATCCACTTCCAATGTTTTTTCTTAATTTCCTCTTTATCTGGAAGCTGATTGGTCCTCTCCCACAGAAGGTTGTTTTTGATGGTATGTTGCGTAAACAACAGTTTATAAATACTTGTACCTTCTTATTGATGGTTGTAGTAGTTCTCCACGTTTCATCTCTGAACGGTAGGATTGTCTTGACTTTCGTATTGAAGATCGTGCCTTTCATGTTGACTGACAGTTGTTTTGAGTTACTTATATTCTTCAACTGTAGGAATGTGGCCCTTGCTTTGCCAATCCTCTCCTTTACGTCTGCTTCCAATCTTCCTTGTTCATCAATGATACTTCTCAGGTACGTGAAAGATTTCACATCTTTCAGAGTTTCTCCAACAAGTGCGATTGGATTGATGTTCTCCGTGTTGTATTTGAGGATCCTACTTTTTCCTTTTTATATACTGAGGCCTATTAATGCAGAGGATGCTGCTACACTAGTTGTCATCATCTGCGTTTGTTCGATAGCAGCTCTAACTCCGCCTTTAGCTCTTCTAGCGTTACTGCCGGTCCCAAGTTCGGGTAAAGAGGGAGGATTGGGCATGGGGTCAACAACCACATCCCGTAGAAAAAAATCTTTCCAAAAAACGTCAACCAGATTAAACAAAAGTAACTTAGAATAACTATAAATTGATAATTGAAAATAAACGAGTAGAAAGTATGTCATACGGTCTTTTGCTATATATATATTTTGAAGATACCGAGAGCAGGTACAGAACCATGAGTCTAATGATTAATGTTAGAAATTAACTAGAATTTCTTTTTAAACATGACACCCTAATGTTTCTTCAGATGATAATAGCCCCTGAAATAGAATGAGATTTTTTATAACCCCATATTGATAATCATCATATCCTCACTAACGATTGGCTTTGAGAGGGAATTTCCAGAGTTCTGGTGAAAAATCGTGACTAGTTATGTTCAACCATGTCTAGTATGAGACAGATTTCCATTTCAGGCAGTAGAAGATGGCCACTTGATGTCAAGAATTTATTGGAGTTAAACCGATACATCATTGGATCCAAGCTCAGTGGTCTAGAAGTTAAGTGTTCGTGTGCGATATTGAAGGTCTTGAATCCGGGTACAGTTTTTAATGGTAGAGTAATGAATGAACATTTCTTAGGAGTTTTATACGAGGATAAAACGGCCATCTACTTCCTTCAGATTTTCAATGGTGGTCCAACTTCAATCGGTTCGTGATTACAATGAAATAAATGGTTTATTTTTGTTACTGAGGAAAAATAATAATTTCAAACTAAAAGAAAGTTTAATTATCTGTAAATTAACTCATAGATACATATTGTGACATCTATTCTAATTCAATCATTCTAAAACTTCAAATAACCTTATAAATTATTTATTTCCCCTGTTATAAGTATGTTAGCAAATATACTGAGTTATTGAGTTATTAAGGAAATTTCTGTTATACTCTATGGACAACTTTGTTGAGTCATATATATATATATATATATACTTATCAAAGGTTAATATAGTTGGTCATTCTTTACTCAGTATAAATATGATTCAATATGTAACTAGAGTGCGTTTTTAATACTTGAATACGATTTGCAACATCTATTTTGTGGATACATCGATTGATACAGGAGATGATGATTCCTGGAAATGTAGATCATATCAAATAGAAGTCAAATGATAATACCGTGGATTGAGAATTGTCTTAGATATATATAATAAATGAATGATCTTTGTGTAAAACGATGATGATTCTCTAACCCTGAATTCTCTGTATGTAGAAATAAATAAAGCTATACATCTAAGTAGTTTGATACAATGAGATGGTGGAGA